ACTGGTAAAGCTTCTTTTTTCTATTTTCAAAGATAGAAAGTAAATATGTATAAATGTTCTAATATCTTCTTCCTGCTTGTCAGCAAATTGTGTTGTGCACCTCAGCTGGGAAAGCACAGGTGGAGGGCAAAGACGAGGGGGGTGGCAAGGACAGAGGACTGGGAAGAAAGGGACGGAAGAAGGATCAGCAGCATTTGGTGGCTGATTACTTGTGTGAGGTGGGGGAGGTGAGGGTAAAGGCAAAGTTCTAGCTTGGGGGTTGTGGGAAGCCATCACCACCATTAATGAGGCAATGAATATCAGAGAAGGAACAGGCTCTTAGGTGAAGATAATTAATGGGAAGCTTAAGGTTCCATGTGGCTTTCTGCCTGAAGATGTTATAATACTATTTTTGTGTAGCAAGAATTGAAAAAAAAAAAAAGGGGGAAATACTGAGTTTTACCTAACATAAAACATTTATAGCATTTTGCTTTGCCTTCTATTTTGCATATAGTTAAGCACTCAGTAAATATTTAAGTGAGGATTTAAAATTATAGTGCAACTTTTATTAGAAGTATTCATTTTTCCCCCCTGTAGGACACTCTAAGAGCAGTCTAATATGAACAGTGTGTTTCAGGTTTTTGAAAACTGATGTCATGTAAAAGTTCAAGAATATAAAAAATAAGATTGTATCAGAATAATTTACCTGAGAGCCTTACTTACATTGCTTTCAAGATGTAAAATATTCTGTGTTGTCTGAAGTTTACTTTCAGTTTAGTTTTACCATTGTGATTTACATTTATAAGAGTCGTGATTTTAGTCTGTAATTGGGTTGAAGACTGTCTGCAATAAAGTGATTTGCTTTCATGTTTAACTGCCATGTCAGACAGACTCAGAGGGACTGGTTAGCACATCAGCTCCAAGTCACTGGAGACAGTGATAAGCAGTGTTCTTCGGCACATCAGGATTATGTTTGAGGAAGAAGGAGAACATGACCCTCAAGGGTTATGAGGTTATTTTTTTCCTTCTTACTCTTTGTTGAATGCTGGTTTAGTGGAGATCTTAGCTATAGCTGAAGTCTTCTTTTATTAAAATTGTGTAACCTTCTCATAAAGAGTTGACTTTGAAATTTTATAGAAACTTTAGAGACTACTTGTAAAAACCAAATGTTCTCCTTACCTGTTCACAATTTGGTCTTGGAGTTAAAAATGTAGGCCTTTCAGTAGATTGGTATTGCCAACTGGTTCCGAAACTGTGTTGCCAAAATGCTGTACAGTTAGTTGCATGTTTCTCTTGATTTCATTAGGCCATCAAACCACACTACAGCCAATAATTTTATTTCCTGAAGCAAAAGAAGTCATTTTAATAGTAGAGTACTAATTCTGGTTAGATCCTAGTTAGTCAACCATATTTCTGATCTAACTCTGTTGGCTAACTTTTAATCATGCTATTCTGATGTCATTGAGTAGTGTCGGTTAACTCTATGCTCACTTCCCCGGCCTGTTATTCTAGCGGCTAAATGTAGAATAAGAATTGCATTCCAGTGGTTATTGGTGCACTTATTATAAAAATATTTTCTTTGTGGAGGAATCTGTAGAATCTGCATGCGTTAGGCATTGGTTTCCATTTCAGAATGATCGGTCTTATGCTGAAGGCTGCGGCTGAGAGCTGGCGCAGGTGAGCGGGCAGTCACGGGGGCGCCTGGCGCTCCAGGGCCTGCTCTGCCTGCCCACCAGGCACAGAATCTCCTCTGTGCCAGAACCTCTGAGGGGTGAGGTCTGACATTGGTATTTACTGGTATTTTAAAAACATCTTCTGATGAGTATAATGCAAAACCAGAGTTAAGAACCACTGCTCTGTAATTTAATTGCCAGTTTTAGAATTAATCTCACTTAATTTGGTAAAGTAATCTGATAATAGGAGATAACGCACATCTAAAGACAGGGATGGAATAGAACCGCGGCAAAGATTTTGCAATACCTGTCCACACACACGAGTCAACTTCATATGTCTGATCTGTATACTGGAATTGTGAGCCACACAGCTTAATGTATCAGAAATAACAGAAGCCATTTACAAGGAGAAATTCGGAAAATCTTAAAGTATAAAGTATAATGAACATTGTTTCTACATAGAATTCCAAACTTTAATAATGTCTCTAATTTTTTCAAGCTTTAATTGATTATTGTGTTTAAAAATATTTGATAAGTTACTTGGATTTTATTTGGTAAATATGGTACACATTCATATAAGTATGATCTGCTATAATAAAATAACCAGTAAAATGTTTTCATACACTTGATTTTCAGAGTTGGGTTCCTGTCCTAAATATAGATGAGAATGTTGTGAATACAGACAACTATATAAATAATCACGCTCATCACATTTAATTTTATTAATTGACACTGGCTGTGCTGTTATAAGAACATAAAGTGACATTTAGCCTAATCTCATCTACATGGCTAGTTATTTCCTACTGTGGGATAACAAAATGAATGAGAAAATGTATCGTGCTTGTGAACAAAAGGGATTACATTAAGATTACCAGGAGACTTACCTTGAATCTGAGCAGGCATGCTCACCTCCTGTTTATAATGTTCTCTTACTGAAGTGTGGTGATGACATTCAACAGAGTTCTCAATGAGTAAGTTAGAAATCCACGTCTGCAATGGGCAGAATAGGTTGTTCTGTGGGTTGTTTTGAAGCATCCCATTTTGTAAAGCAGAAAAAAGTTGGTACAGTGTTCTTTCTTTGTATGTTAGACCATAATTTTAAAAATTTCAGAATTTTAGAGTTAGAAGTGGCCATTCTTGTGTAGAAAGTGAGAGAGACCATTGTGTTTAGTGTTATACAACCATACAACTAGTGACAGACCTAAAACCACAGATTAGGTGTCTCCATCCCCTGTTTTTCTTTGCACTCTGTCAGATTACAGTTACCTGAGGGAAATAAATCTGTTTATGGTTCCAAATTTGGTTCTCTGTTTTTCCAGACCACCAAAATACTAAAAAATAAATATGTATGTGTTTTAGAAAATTTTTAGAAATTGGAAAAGTATCAAGAATAAGAAAAACCATTTAATTCATTGTAGATTGTTACTAGGAAGATAGTCACTTTTGTAGATCATTCAACTTACATCTAACTTGCAATTCTGAGACAGACCCTTGAAATAATGAAGTTACGAGAGAAATCAATCGTGTGGGTAGGTCTAGCGATATAATAAGAAATAGAAGACAGAAGATTGTAACTGTGGCCAAGATGATTTTTCTTACATGATAGTAGGGTGGCTGTGATGCACTCTCACGTGGTCACACCCCTGCCCGTGGCAGGAGAGGCCTGTTGGAGGCACGGAGCCCATGCTGCTGCTGCACACCAGGAGGACTCTGCTGCTGGAGTGGTCTGTGGAGGCAGCCCATGCCCTGTCTGCTCTCTTACGTGTTTCCTCTGCACGGCTCGTTGCTGTTTGGATAGCAAAGCAAGGTCAAGCTGTATTGTTGGAATTGCACTGAGTTCCAGGCCTCATTCTCACCAGCTTTTTATTGTGAACCGGTATTTTGGTCTAGCCTAGCTCAAATAGAGAGCAGCAAACTCAGACTCTAGTCAGGTTAATGATGCTTTGCATCTACCTGAGAGAGCAATTCATATTTCACCTCCTCCAATCCACATGGTATGTGACAAAACCCAACTTAATTCTAAGACTTAATTGTTTTCAAGAGACTACGCATACTCTGTAGGGATATGCCTAACAGTAGTGATGGAGAAACTATGTGCTTTTCTAGGTTTCTCAATAGTGTGGCCTTGGTATTTTCCAGGTGGTGATGTAGCCATATTCAGATATAAGCACACGTCTGTGTTCCCAGGACTCACACAGAAGCTCTTTGAATCACCCACCAAATACACTATAAGTGTTCCTGAAGGGTCTGCTTTCTAAGCATGTACTATACTTCATTAATGATGATAAAACATCCCTGTTACTCAGATTCTGAATGTTAGACTGTGTTCTGTATCCTAAACTAAAGAAACTTATTAAAATTGTGACAAATGTAATTATGGTACAAATGCCATCTTTCAAAATAGGTATGAAAAGAACACATTTCAGTTGATTATGTGCTTAGTACTTGAGTAGTGGGGATTGGTTTACATTAAGTCAGAATTTGTTTAAATAGGACTATTGTATTTATACAAGTATGTTACTGACTTTACATCTTGGCATCTCACAGAGATAATGACACATTTTGGTGGATTTGAATTTCCAAAATCCTTTGCCAGGTAGGAAAGGGAGAAATTACATATAGGTTTTATGGTTTTTCATGAATAGACCATTTTCTTTTTGGTCAAAAAATACGAAAAAAACAGGGTAGGTAGAGATAGATGCTTTTAGATTTCTCATGCTTTCAGTAGCAAAAATACAAACTGTACTAAGAAAGTTTTTTTATACAAACGTTTTCAAGGCAAAATCCTGAGCAAATTACTTTTTCATGGTGGGCCGAGGGAAACAGTCATTGTGTTATAAACCTATTTCCCCCCTGCATACATATTATTCATGATGTTCAGTGAAAGTACATTTCTGCTAAGAGCTAGTCAAGATTATTTCCACATACTAAAATTTCCAATGACATCGGTTGGATAGTGAGAAAACACAGAGAACCCTGTATTATAATCTCCTGTAATTCTTCTGTATGATTACATTTATTACGCCATTCATTTACATTTTGAAATACATAATGATGTATTTGTTTTCAGGACTACAGCTCTACTTTATTCATAATGCAGTTTTCTGGAGCCAAATATCATCCTTTTATGTTCGGTGGTGTGGCAGATTTCTGTTGCATTGAAGCTTTTCTTTATAAGAAATGTACTACACAAGGGTGTTAGAAATAGCTTTGCAATAAAGGAAGCTCTGTGGTGGAAGCAAAGGGGCCGTAGTGGATAAATTGTGCAAAAGGCTGCTTGTTTGGAAATCAAATTTAATTGAAAAGAGCTTTCAATCACTAGTTAATATAACTGCTTTAAATTTACAGACAGTGGGAGTAGCTCACCGTTACCCAAGTATGCTTCATCTCCCAAACCAAACAACAGCTACATGTTCAAACGGGAGCCCCCAGAGGGATGTGAGCGAGTGAAGGTCTTTGAGGAGATGGCGTAAGTAATGTCTTTTCTATCAGCTGTGCTCTGCAGAGCTGCAAAGCTTTTTACTGAGACCAGTTGATCACAGATGAATCAACTACTCCGTCCAGCTGATAGTGTGTTTCAAAATCATGAAAAGAGAACTGAATAGGCCAAAGAGATCTTACTGAAGGAGAACTGGAGCCTATATGCTGGAAATATGAAGCTAATACAAAAGAAACTTGGAAATCCATCCTTACTAGCTAAAAATCTATTTTTAGTCATTGAGAGTGTTCCCTTCAGAGGCTGTACTGATTCAGATGGCTAACACAGAGACATTTAGCAGCGTAGTCAGCGCCCGGGTGTAGCGCGGCTAACGACAGGACAGGGACTCTACAGCCAGAAGGAAACCAGTCTCGTTCCCTGTGGACACAACTAGCCTGTCTAGTCACTGGACTTTCTGTTTACAGATTTTTTCTTTTTGAAATTTCAATATGTATAAATTAGAAGTGAAAGGAAAAGCGGTTCATACTGTTAAATACTTGGCAGAACAGCTCAAAAAAAGACTGTGTGGCTCTTGGGCTCACTCATCCCTTTGCCCCAGGGCAGGTGCCTGCGAGGTTGCCCTTGCACGTGGACAGGGGCAGGCTGGCCTTGTGGGAGAGGATGGCACAGTTGCTGGGCATGGCAGGAGAGGAAGGGCTTGGGGACCCTGCTCTGTTGGGCTGATTGGCTCTTCCAGAAGCTGCTGAAACTTTTTTTTCCCCTGATCTGTGTTAGTAGAAGTATGTAGAGAGATGCAGAAAGAGGAGGAAATGCTTAAAACCAAATACATGATGGGGTGATCCCTCTCCCAGTATGCTTTTTCTTAACAGAAAGGGTCATTCCAACTTAGCATAATCTTCAGCTGTAGTGTAAGAGGTGTTTCCACTTTCCTAGATGCTTGAAAGCAAACTAATGATCTCTGAACAGATGTGTCCGCCCAGTCCCTTTGTCTCAAATACCACTTCAGTGCTGTGTACATCAGTAGTCTGCCAGCTGACTTGTGCTATGGAAGATGTTTACCCCCTGTGTACACTTAACTCATTCCCTGCCATTCACATTTTAGCAAACTCCAATTAATTCAGAAAGTGCTTCACTTTTTCCTGATTGTAAACCTCATTTTGTTTTATGGTTTTAGGTCTCGTCAGCCTATCTCAGCCCCTCTCTTTTCATGTCCTGACAAAAACAAGGTTAATTTCATCCCAACCGGATCAGCTTTCTGTCCTGTAAAACTCCTAGGCCCTCTCTTACCTGCCTCAGACCTGATGCTCAAGAACTCTCCCAACTCCGGCCAGAGCTCGGCCCTGGCAACCCTGACCGTGGAGCAGCTCTCCTCCCGGGTCTCCTTCGCGTCTCTCTCTGACGACACCAGCATGGCAGGCTCCCTGGAGGCCTCCGTCCAGCAGCCATCCCAGCAGCCCCCGCAGCTCCTGCCGGATCTGCAAGGTGAGGAACATGTCCCTGCTCAGAACTATGTGGTCATCTAAAGCAGAGGGGAGCGGGCCTGCACCCGACCTTCCATGGATTAGGAACTAGATCTCAGACGTTACCTGCATGGAGTGACACAACTTTCCAAACACCACCGCCGACACCAGGCTGCTTCTCGGCATCGTGAAGTATCTCTGAACACTGACCTTGGCAGGGACGGAGCTCCTATCAGCAGTTTTGTGGAAAGCAGTAAAGCTTGCAAAATATGTGTGTCATTGAGCATTTTAAGTGGAGACTATGCATTTCATAGTATGTTTGACAGTACTGTGTCCTGTGTTTTGTTCCAAATTCTTCAGTATAAATAAGCTCTATATCAAAAAGTTGCCTGTCTAAGTAGAAAATGTCTTGCTGTGTTTTGTCCTATGGAAAATACTGTACTTCAGGATTATGTTTACAATTGATCCAGGTGTTTGTTTCTAACTTCTGTAATACATACAATGCAAAAAATAAAATAAAATAAATGGCCACAACAGTTGCACAGTGCCCACCCTATGGCCTAGCTTCAGGTACTTCAGTTGAAGTCTAAACTCAGGTAACTTGGAATGTATATCATATTGGGATATTAACTATTTCACAGCTAAAATGCTAAAGAGGGAACATCACTCTTTGCCTTTCCTTGTTTTATGCATTTCCCTTTCCTCATGACATTCCACATTCTTAGAATAAGAAGTGCATTCAACCCTAGGAGAACGATAATCCTGGACATGGGTGAACATGAGAAGAACCAGCAAATTTGTGGTGTCTGACATCACTCTTGTCATGTGGTTACAAGTACAACAGCTGTTGCATTCACTGTCTCAACATGTGTGAACGTGGCTTTTCCTACAAGTTCAGGTGTTGCTCAGTTAGTGACTGTCCAGTGTCTCATATGCAGCGTCCAGTCCCAGGCTGTCCGTAAGCATTCCACATCGTGTGTGATGGGATTTAAGGACGAGATATCTAGGCTTAACGTTAGAATGAGGGAAGTTTCACAGGATGGTTGAGATTTTTTTTGTTTATGCTGGCCATCGAGGTCATGAAATGCTACTGTGTTATCTAAAGGCGTATATTGGTTTTAGTTTCCCTTTTGGAAAGCCTTTAACTCGCAGGTTTAAAAAGGACACACTTTGGGTTATTGTCTTCTTCAAGTAGTTGAGGTGCCTGAGTTACATTCATGTAGAGAGAGAATATGTAGGTCTCAAAATTAATACCGCAGAAGGAAGCTGGTTATCGGCGACTTACAAAAGAGGTCGTTTAAGCTCATTGAAGCCTCTCACAATAATATCATGAGTAGTTCTGTTAATATTTTGGCCCTACAAAGTACAGTCAAAACCCAAGTAAATAGTCTTGACCTTGCAGACTTGACCTAACTTCTCAGCAAAGGGTGAAGAGAGCCCTAGATACTCCTGTTTGGTCCGTGGAAGAGCCCGGCTTTCGGATGTTTTCTGCCACACAGGGAGAGTATCCAAAAGCAAAGGAAAGTTTTTGTATTTTTATTCCATTGCTTTCAGTTCGATAAAACATAGAGTTGTTTCCGTCTGCACCTAAAGTGTAGGGCACAATTTTCTGAAGAATTGGGGGGACAAGATGCCTACAGCTACAGGAACGTTTCAGTTCCCGTCAGTCATTCCTGGACTTTATTTTCTAAGGAGGTTGAAGACGGAAGAGATGATAAAAGATGAAAGCAACACTATTGATTTTTTTTTTTAAAGAAATGGCATAAATGTGTATATGTTTGTGTGTGTATGTATTCTGTGTATTATTTTGTCATGATCCCAATGATCTTCTGTCCACCAAAGTTTGCAGTAATATTCTCTCCTGAAGGTGCATCCTGGCTCCTTTAAATTAGTCAGTGTTACGTTGTAGGAGACTGTCATGGAAAAGGACTCAGTTTACTTTTGCCATTTTCACAGGGGAACCTTTTAAATCAATCTCTTCAGCAGCAGACACCTTTAACCCTAATAATCTCAGGCCTTGATGAAAATACTATATTTTGTAGATTATGGTTAAAGGGAGAAAATTATTAGCTCTGTAAGATAAATATGAGCTCCATTAACTTCTGATAATCTGGTTTAGCAGTACATATATGTTGATCTTATGCTCTGCTTTTGTCCAAATAAGATGCAATAGTATCAATATCAATTTCCGAAAGATGGACTGAATATGCTTTTTGGGTGATGAACTCTGATGTACGATATTTATAGTGATATGTGCTTTTATTTTCTCATGAGAAACTGAATATTAATTGTGTTGTACATTTGTTCCTAGCCTATATTCAAGTTTTGAACCAAATGTGTTAAAGCTTATGCTTTGCCATGTAAATTTCCCAGAAGTTGTTGAGCTCAAATGTATCCTACACCCAGCTGTAGAAATTTGTCAGAAATTGTTTAAATTTTGTATATAGTCGTACTGTTTGATTCTAGCCACTGCGCTGAACAGTATTCGAGTTACCATCAATATGGCTTTACACAAGAAATGTGTGGCTTTTGTTTTGTATTTTTTCAGTATAGAAGTAACTGTGTCTTATTTAAATAAAGTTATTAGTAAAAGTGGAATAGTGCACATACGTGTTTTGGAAAGACCGGGCGGCTAGCATCTCGCGTGACGGACGAAGTTCGTGCCGGGTGGCAGCCACTCTTAGTGCCCGCCGAGTCCCTGACCTGTGTCTCTGGCGGGAGGGGGGCCAGCCGGGTCGGATTTCCACAGCCTGCCTTCCTCCTGACATCTAACTTACACGCTTTCCATCACAAGGTAAGGAGCGAGCTGTCTAAAGTTCCCAGTCTTTGTCATACTCCCAGCTCCGAGCACCTTACATAGAGAAAACATTGTTCCCACATCATCATCTTATACCGAAGAATGATCTGTGGAAACAACTTTTTTTTTTTAGTTTGGTGAAATCACCTCAAAGAAATTTGCTTATTTCTTGCAATGAAAGCCATAGCGAAAAAAAAAAGGTTTATTTTTTTACTCTTTTTATTTACGTTTAGATTCAGGATAAGAGGGCGAAAAGCTTCCCAGAACAATGGAGTGTTGATGTTATGTCCAGCCCTCCAAACAGGCCCGTGATAGATCGTGTGTCCTGAAAGCAAACGCAAACCGCGTTGAGACACAGTTTACCAGCAGAGTGTTCATTTCCGGAGCACATCTCGTCAGAGAGATAAGATTTCACCTTTAAAACAAACTTGAAAATGACTATTTAGTATCTGTGTTTTGAGCTGAAAAAAAGCGAAAATACAACATTTTAATGGTGAGGTTTGCCAACTATCTTCTTGAGGGTGATACATAATTCAGGCAAGAAATTATACATCTTACACAACTTGAAAATTCCATCGCCAGTGAATTAGAAAGAAATGTAGAATTCTCAGCCCTGTCTCTGCTTGCCTCAATCAAATAACGGGCTTAATATAAACAGCCCTGAGAAGTGAGCACTATTTCAGTATTTGCAAAATCAAGTTTTAAGAGACTAGGAGGGGGAAATTAGGCCTAAGAACGTATATATGTTTAACCTTATGTTAGCTAGAAACGGCCACTTAAAGTTGATTTATGAATATTGCCGAATGAGTGCTCATCCCCGTGCCCCGCCCTGCAGGGCGAGGCCCCTTTTTGGTCGGAAGCTCCCTTATCCCCACATGTGCCCTTGATGAGCAGCTTCTGCCTTCTGGCCCGTCTTGGTGCTCGGTCTTTCCCCTCCAGGGTCTGAAGGGCATCTCCCCTCAGACTTGATGCCTCATCTCAGCTTCAGCCATGACGTACAACGAAGACTCTCTTGTCCCCTGTTGTACCAAATCATCTCTCCTCCTTTTTACACTCCGATTCCTAGTTCCCAGAAGACAGACCGGAATTCCAAGTCCTGAAGTTTTCTCCACCTAAACCTCCCGGATTAGCCTTTCTGTCTTCTTATCTCACCACTGAATTTCGAGCTGCGGGGGCACAATGGTGTCAGATCAGATGGCCATGCCAGGTGGATGAGTTTCTGTTGAACTCAGGTTCTGATGCCAAGGAAACAAAACCAAGGATGCCAGACCCACTACCTCCCCAAGTCCTAGACCTGGGGTCAACCAACTACTGCGGCTGGGCCAGGCCCGCCCCCTGCCTATTTCTGTAGATCACGTTACTGGAACAAAGCCACGCTCATTTGCTTATGTAGTAAATAGTAAAGTTTGGGGGGAGTCAAAAGTTAGTGGTTTTTGACCGTAGAGGGTCTGTGCCCCTAAGCCCTACTTTGTTCAAGGGTCAACTATACTGTCTGTGGCTCCTTGTCGCACGAAGGCAGGGTGACAGAGTTGCAGCAGAGACAGTCTGGCCCTCAGGGCCTAAAATGCTGGCTGCTGGGTCCTTGACAGGAAACACGACGCTGACTTCTGCCGTAGACCAGAGAGCAAACTGGAGGTCGGTAACTTGTGTCGTACGTGTGGTTGTCTGTGAAATACGTTCACAGACGCTCTGATACGCCTCCCTTCAAGAGGTAGAGCTTCCTTTTTCTCCCGTAAGTGTGGGCTGGGCTTGCTGATGACTAAGAATATCACAAACTGACAGGCTGGCACTCCCGAGATCACCTTACGAAAAGGCTTCTCTGTCTTGGGGTGTGCACTTTCTTGAAACACTGACTATGGGGAAAGCTATGTTATGGGCATACTTAGGAAGTCTGTGGAGAGTCCCACATGGCAGTAGTGGGGCCCTCTGGCCACCAGCTAGCAAGGCACAGGGCCCCTGCCAGCAATCGTATGAGTGAGCTTGGACATAGGTCCTCCTACCCAGCTAAACCACTCCTAGGTTCCTGGCCCTCAGAAACTGTGAGATAATCAACGTGTATTGTGTTAAGGTGCTAAGTTTCAGGGTACTGTGTTACATCGGGTTAAAGAACTAGTACAATACAGCAGCTGCTCTGCATGCCCCCTCACCACCACCACCACCACGAACCTGTGCCCATTACTGCCACCAACATCACCCAGGGTCTTGCTGTAGCATTCAGTCCTCTGGGTCCATGAAGTGAGTCTCGCCGTGTTTAGAATGCACACAGCTCTTCTGGACTCACCCACGGCGAAGCTTTCTCATGCAAAATGCAATTGGGACAATTCACAGGGTGTTAATTCTACTGTGTGTGCCTAAAAGTTGTCTAATGCTTAACCGTCTTACCTAAGACAAGCCACTGGCGGTGAGGCGTGGGTGGGAATTAAACCCTTGCAGGAAAGGATTCCCTATGGAAAATGATGCAAGAAGGGGTGGAGGAGGCGATCCATTTTTCAAGCTGGGAAAGAAGAAAAAGCAGAATCTCGAAGGAAGGAAGGGAGGGAAGGAGGGAGGGAGAGGGGGAGGGAGGGAGGAGGAAGGGGGAGAGAGAGAAAGAAAAAGTAAAGAAAGAGAACGAAAAGAGAGAGAAAGAAAGAGAGAGAAAAGAAGAAAGAGAGAAAGAAAGAAGAAAAAGATTTCCATCTTGAATATCTTTGTTCTTTTAGTTAACCGTAGGCTGGTGACCCACTGGTTCTCATTTGGCCTCTTCCATTCCATAGGTATTTGCACCTCTCAAAGAGGAGATAAAAAACATAAAATTTTCAAAGGTTCCCAGTCAGTTCAGGGATGGCCCCTCTCGTTCAAAACAGCCATTTTCTTAACACTAAGAATTTGAACAATTAGATCATTTTTCCTCCAAAAGATTTTCTGATAATAAGGAATGGGTTCCCTTTCACACGACAAGTTCTACTCAAGTCTTGGCATCAGTTTGAAACGTGACTTTGATGACATTCCTTTGGCCAGAACTGGGCATGGCCCTGCAGGCAATGGATGTTATTTCAAACCACTGTCTAGAAGCGAGCTAGATAAAAGGTGGATGTAGGGCTCCACCAGGACCTACCAAATGGGGAGAAGCCTTCATGTTGGAAAGGCAAATCTTTTCTCAGGTTTTCTATTCCACTTTGTAAAGGAAAAGGGTTATACTCGAGGGACACGTGCACAAAAGACACTGCTCATGTGCTCCAACAGACAGCCCGCCACTTTCATGCAGACTGAAATCAAAGCAGACAGTCATCTTAACTCGCTCTCCATTCATTGATCTGCCCATTTGACTGCAGACAGACACCTGGTGTGGTCTCCCTGTTCTACTCCCCAATGACCACCCTGCGAGCTTTGTGTGAAGAACCTATTCCTTTTTGGCCCCGGCCAGTTTGGCCCAGTGGTCAGAGCATCGGCCTGTGGACCAGAGGGCCCCGGGTTCAATTCCTAGTCAAGGGCATGTACCTGGGTTGCAGGTTCGACCCCTGGTCCCAGTCGGGGTTGTGTGGGAGGCAGCTAATTGATGTGCCTCTCTCTTATTGATGTTTCTCTCCCTCCCTTTAACTCTATCTAAAAATCAGTAGAAAAATATCTTTGGGTGAGGATTAAGAACAACAAAAAAAGAACCTATTCCTTTTTGAATCCCCAATTCCTTCTGATTGCTCCCCTAAATCTGTGACCATTGCAGCAGGACCTGGGAGAAGATCAAGAAGTAGCAGGAAGAGGCTCAAGGTGGTTACACTTGGGGACTAGGGTCTGGGGGTGGGGTTGAGGAAAGTGCTGAGACAAGCTTTCACAATATTTTGAAATATTTGACTTTTTCTCACAATGAGCATGTATTATTTGTGCAATGTTTTGTGGAAGAAGACAGAAAAGCAACATGACCTGCATCCTGCAGTTGTTGGCAGTCCCCTTCCCCTGCCAGCACCACCTTCTCACCACCCATCCACCCATCCACCTTCTTTTTTTGGTTTGTTTTTGTTTTGGTACATGCCCCTAGCGGGAACCGAACCTGGGACTCTCTGGTCCACAGGCCAGTGCTCCAACCACTGAGCCAAACTGGCCAGGGCCATCCATCCACCTTCTTACCACCCATCCATCCATCCATCCATCCACCTTCTTACCACCCATCCACCCATCCACCTACTTACCACCCATCTATCCATCCACCTTCTTACCACCCATCCACCCATCCACCTTCTTACCACCCATCTATCCATCCACCTTCTTACCACGCATCCACCTTCTTACCGCCCATCCACCCATCTACCTTCTTACCACCCGTCCATCCATCCATCTTCTTACCACCCATCTATCCATCCACCTTCTTACTGCCCGTCCACCCATCTACCTTCTTGCCACCCATCCACCCATCCACCTTCTTACCACCCATCTATCCATCCACCTTCTTACCACCCGTCCATCCATCTACCTTCTTACCACCCATCTACCTTCTTACCATCCATCCATCCATCCACCTTCTTACCACCTGTCCACCCATCCACCTTCTTACCACCCATCTATCCATCCACCTTCTTACCACCCGTCCATCCATCTACCTTCTTACCACCCATCTACCTTCTTACCATCCATCCACCCATCCACCTTCTTACCACCCATCTATCCATCCACCTTCTTACCACGCATCCATCTTCTTACCACGCATCCACCTTCTTACCACCCATCCACCCATCTACCTTCTTGCCACCCATCCACCCATCCACCTTCTTACCACCCATCCATCCATCCACCTTCTTACCACCCGTCCATCCATCCACCTTCT